TATAGTAAGTGCGGTTTCTGACACCCCTAGTCATACCTGGTTTTTGGAAGATTTAGAATCCTACAGTAGTTTTAAACTAATTTAAAATTTAACACAAAGCAGGTACCTGAAGTGATTTATTTTATTAGCCAGATGGACTATAAGAAATTCTCTAGACCCATAATATTTAGTTTATACCTGTTATAGCATATGCCTACATCTTCGCTTAAATATAAATCGAGTGCTTGGCTTGAGACAGTATTCAGTTGCCAAATAAACTTCAAGCAATAAACAACGTTTAAACTCACATATAGTCTTCAATTCTAAAACCCCGTTTAAACCAAGTTAACTAAGTTTAACTATAAAACCATGACTCTTAATTGTAATTTCAATTCCTGCCAATGGAGCGGTGCCGAAGACGAAATATTCGATCATATTGAAACTCGTCACAAGAAATTTCTGCGGGAACCGAAAGGAAATCTTTATTACGATTTTAATTTCGACGATCTACAACAAGAAGCTTTTGTATTGTGCTCTCCTAATGGTCTCTATTGGTTTAGGAAAAATCCACAAACCTCACCGAGTAAAGTGTATGAGTTTGGTGTATTCCATATAGGAGAATCTGAAGAAGTAGAATTCACACTTAAACTTGGTCTCAAGCGTGAAGGATATTGTGAATATTGGGGTCCCTACGAAAGTAAACAAGATTTGTTAAAGCAACCGGACAGAAGAGAATTCATATTACGTTTTGATAGAGAATTTTTGGATCTTGTGCAACAAACTATGCCTTCACAACGTTTACGTCTCTATTTTGGTAATATTGAGGACAATGATGATGATAAATTATGTCCCGGACCCGAGGATTTCGTGGAATGGTCAGAAGAAGATGAGGAACTTAATGCTTTGTGTGTCGAACAATTTACTTGTCCCATTTGCTTTGAGTATATAAAACATGACGCCAGATCTTGTGAAAATCAGCATTTTATTTGTTGCAATTGTTTTGAAGAAATGCAAAAGCGTAAAAAACTAAAATGTCCCACTTGTCGGGGTCAGTATTTATACGATTGTATTAACGAAGATGTTAATCGTTTTTTGGGCATGATCAGATGGCCCGATGTCGAGATTAAGAAGGATGATGAAATATTAGAATGGCTGAAATCTATGCCAAATGTTGAGTATGTTCAGGTTAAAGGTGGTGAAAATGTTTGATTATTACAGGGTTTGGGTTTGAGTTTAATATAGAATAGTAATTTTGTAAAAATAGTACTAATGTTTAATAATATTTATTTGTAATTTAAAGTATATTTAATAAAATAATAATTATAAATTTAATTGAAAGTGTTTTTTATTTCAGTTTTCTATACTTTAGTTAAAACTGAGGTCATTTGCAAAGAAGTCGGAAAAAAGTTAAAAGTCCGAAATTTAACTATGTTTAGATCAGATTAACTAACTATATATCAGATTATAGTGTCGATTATAGAGAAATATAATAAACAAAACTTTCAAATGTAGTCTCGTCCATAAATCAGACTATTATCTGGACTATAGATCGGACTATAGTCTCCCAGATTATAGTCCGAGAGAATAGATTGCAGTCTCCTCTACAAATTAAGTTAAATCTCACAACTATAGACCGGACTATGGATCTGACTATAGTTAAGAATATAAATTAGACTATAGGCTCAACTTTAAAGTAAACTTTCTAATATTGTCTCCACTTTTGTATTGCATGACTTTAAACAGAACAGATTGCAGACTGAACGGTACTATTGTCTAGACTATAGACCAGACTATTGCCTAGACTTGGTAGCAACTAAAGACTTTATTATAGTCGCAATTAGAGACTAGATGGTAGTCTGTAATGTCGTCTATAAATCTATAAACTATTGTCTGGACTATTGACCACACTATAGTCTACCAGATTATAGTCCGGACCATAGACTCGACCATAAACAGAATAGACTGTAGTCTTCTCTACAAATTAAATTATATCTCACAACTATAGACTGGACTATGGATCTGACTATAGTTGAATATAAAATAAGACTATAGGTTCAACTTTAAAGTAAACTTTCGAATATTGTCTTCACTATAGTACAGATTATAGTCTAGACTATAGACCCTATTTCAGGCACGACTTTAAACAGAACGTACTTTTGTCTAGACTATAGACCAGACTATTGTCACGACTATAGTCCACACAACTGCCTCGACTATAGACCAGACTATTGTCTCGACTTAGTATCAACTGAAGAACATATTATAGTCTCAATTACAGACCAGATTGTAGTCTAGACCAACGGTTCCCAAAAGGGGGTCCGCGGACCCCTAGTGGTCCGTAGCAAAATCCTAGGGGGTCCGCGAAGACGAACGAAAAAAATCATGAATAAAAAATATTCTCCAAATTTTTCATAAATACTAAAATACACAATTTTTATTCAATAATCCCAGGTTTGTTGGTGACTTTTTGAATTTTATTGTTTCGGTCGTTTATCAGGATGAAGCTAGGCCCTACAAATTTATTGTTTCACTTTTATAATGTAAAGTATTACTTGATTTGTAATTTTTATAAATGTATATGTATCGAAATAAATGTTTTTATATCAGACGGATAATGATTTGCCTTAGAATTAAATACTGATACTGGTATCCCGGAATATGAAATATAAATATTCCATTCCGACGTGATACACAGATTTTAACTTCATTTTGTTGTCCAATATTATTAAATCAACATCAGAAAATTCATAGCGTTTTGCGTAAATAGTCAAAACCACGCAGTAAAATAATTCGTAGGTATTTTAAAATTCAAATTTATGATCCAAATTCACAGTACATTCGCAAAGAGTTCAGGTCATATTTTATGTGGGTAACGCATTCCGCAACAACATCGAAGAAGTCTAACTTTCACATATTTTCCCGAAAACTTAGCTTACATACTCAGCTCACTCCTATGCAATCGCAAAAAAATTTAGAAACATGACTCTTTAAGCACATGTCGACAATACTGAAACCTTTTCGCTACCTTGACCAGAAATGAACATGAAAGCTCTCACGATCATAAAATTAAACATCATGTTAGAAGTCATTCTATATTTAAAACCTTGCAATTGAAAACATCTCCGAAATACTAAATATTCTCAATGTACGGGAATATTTTATAGGGTTTATGGACCAGGACCAAGACAATATTCGGATGAACAATTATTTATAACAATAAGATATCAAAATATGTATGGGGGTCCGTGAAATTGAATAAACTCCTCAAGGGGTCCGCGAAGTAAAAAACGGTGGGAACCGCTGGTCTAGACTATAGACTATCCTCTAGTCTCTACTATAAATAAAATAAACTTTAGTCTTCTCTATAAATTAGACTACTGTACACTAGACTAGTCTCGATTGTAGAACAGACTGTTGTAAGGACTCTACTTTAAACTTTCAAAGGATTTACTAGACCAGACTATTACAACGGCTATAGATCAGACTATACTCTCGACTACAGAACAAACTGTATTGTCTATTATAGACCGAACTATATTATCATCTAGAGAAGACTTTATATCAAACTATAGTCTCGACTATAGAACAAACTGTATTGTTGACTATTGACCAGACTATAGTCTCAACTAGAGAACAGACTTTATACCAGACTATAGTACTAAATACTTAGTACTAAAATCTGGACTATAAACAGAACAGACTATAATCTAATGTACAAATCACACCAAATCTAAATTAGATCATATAGACCACACTATAGTCCCAACTATAGATTAGATTATAAAAAATTTCTTATTTGTTTTAAATAAAACTCAAATTTTTTTTTAATTTTTTTGTAAAAAGATTTTTCTTTATAAAAAATTTTTATTTCAATTTCATGTTGCATGTGTTGCATTATGCAAATAGTATAATGTAGCATGTGTTACACATTATTTTTCTTATAATAATTAATATAAAATAATATTAAAACTAAATTGTTCATGTTTTTTTTAACATATTTCATTTTTAACTAAATACAAAATACTTAATTTATTAAGGATAATAAAGGAAAAGTTTGGAAAATAAAATAAATTTTTCTGTTAAAGAATTATTAAATTTTAAAGATAAAAATACTAAAACACAACTTAAAGTTATTCCAAATTATTTTAAACAAAAGGAAGAGAGATATGAGTTGAAAACTAAAAACTACATGGTAGTATTATATAAATCAAGTGGTTAGGGGGGCGGGGGAAGGAAGTAACAGTTTTAATAAATTAAAGCATTTTTTTAAAGGGAAGTGTTTTTCTAAGTTTATAAATATGTTTATGTTTAATATAAATTAAAATTAAAAAAAAAAAACCATCACCACATTGATTGCACAATAAACCCGATGATTGTTATAGTTTAATTAAAAATTATTTATTTAAATAATTAATTAACACTTTGGATGATTATTTTTTTTTTTTTATTAAAAAGTGTTTTTTTTTTTATAAAATTTTAATAAAAATCCTTTTTGTTAAGCGGATTTTTATTAAAATTTTGTTTTCAAAGTTTGCTGTACATAAACAATGTTTTTTTGTTTGTTAAAAAAAAATATTAAATTAATTATAAAAATCTGTTTCTTTTTAATTAGTTTAAGTGATTTAGATTTTTTATCATTTATGAACAGCAAATTTTTATTTGTTAAAAACTTATTTAATAATTAAAACTACCGTTTTGTTTTATAAAGTTTACTGTTGTTGTTTTTTATTATTATTATTTTCTTAAATTATTATGATTTTTATAATGTTTAAATTTTGTTTTTGTTTTAACTTATTTTTAAATATTTGAAAAAAATCAAAAAAAAAAAATTTAAAATTTTTAAGGCCTCTTGTTTGTTTTTTTGATTTTTTTTAACGAAATAATAATAATAATAATGTTAATGATATAAATTCTTATAAATTATATTTAAATTACTTTATTTAAGTTTAAGTTTTAGTTTAATGTACACATGATTATATAAAAAATATTTAGTTTAGTTGTTTTTTGTTTAAATTATAAAATTAAAAAGATAATTCAGTTTTAGAGAGTTCAATTAATATAAAAAAAAGTTCTCTGAATCCATTAAATAATTCATTTATAAAATTCACTTAAATAAAAAAACTTAACAAACAAAAAAAATATTCAATGAATCTAAGTTTTAGGGAAGGAGTATGAGGTGTGGGGGTAGGGTAGTAGGTTGTTTATTTGTGTAGAGTAATAATAATAAAAATATATATCCTTAAAACAAAATGAAATGATTTGTACACAATTGCAATTGAGTTTAAAAGTTAAAAGCTTTTGCTTAGTAAAAGGAGTTTGAAGATTTAACAAAAGAATTCTAAAAATTTTATTTTGCTTTAAAAATTTTGCAGAGAATTTAAAATTTAGGTTGACAAGTTATTAGGAAATATAAGGGAAACCCCTGAAGCATACCCTTTGACCCCTGGGGGTCTATTCCTTTAATCAATAATATTAAAAAAAAATTTTAAAATATTAAACAGCCGATCCCTGGGGGTCTTTAAACAAGAAACCGTCATTAGGGGAATGCATTAGAGTCCCCCTGGGGGGTCTTTTTCTTAACTTAAGTTAACATTTTCAAATTGTTATATAAAATTTATAAAAAATCCTTTACAATGCGAAAATTTAACCCCAGGGGGTCTATAGACCACATTTCGACATTTCAGGAGTACATTTGGGTGCCCCAGGGGGTCATTTTCATAACTTAAGTTAAAATTTTTAAATTGTAATATAAAATTTTTAAAAAATCAAATAATTTTTAATCAATTTTAAGGCATTATCCTTTACAATGTGAAAATTTAAACCCAGGGGGTCTACACACCAGATAACAAAGACTCCTGGGGGGGTTATACCCAAACTCAATTTGAATTTAAAAATGTAATAATTTTTTAAGTATTTTGACAACTTTTTCTTTGAAACCGAATTACGCAGAAGACCCCCAGAGGTATTTTAATATAAAACCGTTAAAACAAAAAAGATCCCCAGGGGTCTACAGGCCAGATAATAAGGACCCTAGGGAAGCTTAACAAAACTCAATTCGCAATTAAAAGTGTAGGAATTTTTTAAGTATTTTGACAAATTTTTCTTTGAAACTGAATTACGGCCAAGACCCCAAGGGGTATTTTATTATAATATTCACTTTTTGGTAAAACAAAGAAGACACTCCGGGGTTGTTAAACTTAATTTAAAGAAATGTTATTAAACTGTAAAATAAAATATATAAAAATATCTAATATTTCTAAAACGATTACAAAAAAAAGCTTTGTAACCCCCAGGGGGTCTTTAGCATACAGTTAACACCAAAACCTGGAGTTTAAAGAGGTTTTTAACTAAGGATTTATATAAAAAATGTATAAAAATTCCTGCACTTTGCTGGATTTCCTATAACAAATATTGAAAACAAGCCCCCCGGGGGGTCACTTAGCCAAAGTTTGATATTAAAGAGATCTAAATTCAAATAAGAATATTTTTAATTTAAAAACAAATTAATAGCAAAATAGTATCAGAAATTTTAAGTAATATATACTACAAACTCCTGCTCTTTGGCTGCAGGCCTTACTCTTAAACACAATTGCCATAAAATAGTTTTAAATAAAATGTGAAAAAAAAAAAATGTTAAAAATCAAATTTAAAAACTAAAAGGTTAAAGCCTGGTTAAAAACAAAAGTTAATATATAATTTACAAACTAAAAATAATATTATACATTTAAAAAAAATCTAAAAAAATATTGTTTACAGTATAAAGCCAAAATATGTTTTTTTTTCTTACTAAAGAAAACTTTAAAAGTTTACAATTTTAAAGCATTTTTTTAAAAAAATTAAATTAAAAAAGAAATAAACAAACTCATAATGACTTCAAAATTTTTTCACTAAACTAAAAGTAATAATGAGATGAGATGTGTTATAATGTTTTAAAAATAAAATTAAAGAATTTTCTAGCTTAAAAAGAAGAAAAAAACTACAAAATGACTCAACTAAAAATTCACTTAAAGGTAAATTCATATAGTAAGAAAAAAACAAAAAGAAATTCAATTTAAAAAAAAGATTTACAAAAGTTTATAAAAAAAGAATTTGCTCAGCAAAAATATGTAAAAAAATATATAAGTTTTTCTTAAAATAAAAAGAATTTCTACATCAAAAAAAGATAAATATTTGTAAATAATTATAAAATAATAATAATCTCGGAGTTTTTGTTCTGGTTAATAGTTTCTGTTTAAAAGGCAGTTGCTGTTTCTTTAACAAACTCTTAATTATGCACCGGCATAGGCAGTTGTCCTAGTAAATTGTTGGCAAATTGTGAATTGGTAAATTTAAAATGACGTTTATCATAGAATTTCAGTAAAGCCGGTGAATAAGGATGATTTTCTTTTAAGTGTATATAATGAACCTCAGGTTCACAAGTGGTATGACCACATTCCTCACAAACATACATCTAAAAACAAAAGAAAAAGTAAAACATTAGTATTCCTTAAAAAAAAATTCTTTAAAAAAGAAAACTTACCTTAGTTCTTCTCTCTTTATAGGCATATTGATGCTGTACACTATGAACTTTCAAGCAATGTGATTCCAAAGAACATCTTTGTGTAAAACTCTTCTCACATAGATTACATTTATAAGGTCTTACACCGGTATGGGTACGTGTATGTCTTTTCAAATCGAAAGTATCATTAAAACCCTTACCACAGAAAGTGCATAAGTAACGTTTAATTTCCGAATGACATTTCATATGACGATTTAGTAGACGTTGCAGCGAAAAAGCTTTCAAACAAATGCGACAAACAAATTTACCATTAGGTTCACTTTGATCATTACTATTAATGCTGGAGGAATTAGAATTACAATTATTATTGGTGGGTGAACCTCCATTCATCATGATAGCTGCTGAGTTATCGGGCATTATGTTGGAGGGTTTTTTCAAATCATCTATACAGTCTATGCTGCGTATACGATGATGATGATGACCATGAGTATTTTCAATGGCGAGAGGATTCTTAATGCCATGTCCGCCATTGACAAATTCCAATTGTACCTCGGGTGGCAGGCCCAACTGTTGAGGAGAAAGGGGAAAGAGAAAAGAAATTAAAAATTTGTAAAAAATATTGTTACAAACAAAAAATGCAAATTCGAAAATTATTCCTATTTGTTGCAAAAATAATTTTTACCCTCCCAAAATGCAAAAATTGTTTGCATTTTTATCTGAGGCAAATAGTAGAGGGCAAAAAAAATGTAATTTAACTTTAGATAGTCACTTACAATTAAAGATTTTGTTTTTTTACAGAAATATATTAACTAAAAGGCAGTTTAGGGGCAAAAATGCAAAATTATTTGCATCTTAAAAGTGCAAAATTCAAAAACATTTTATAAAATTTTATCATATAAAGCTAAATTTTTGGCTTTTTATCAAAAAAATATTACAAAAAATGCAGTAAAAGGGCAAAAATGCCAAATTTTTTACAACTTAAAAGTGCAAAATTCGTAATCTGTGTTTAAATTGGGAGCAATTCTAATACATTATGCAAAAAAAAGTCAGGAAAAAATGCAGTTTTGGCACAAAAATGCAAAATTTTTTGAAACTTTAAAGTGCAGAAATCACAAAAAATCTAAAAAGAAATTTTGCATTTACATCTGAATGTGTTACATAAAACTAAATATTTGAGTTTTTTGGAAAAATATTACGAAAAAGGCAGTAAAGGGGTAAAAATGCAAAATTTTTTGCAACTTTAAAGTGCAGAAATCACAAAAAATCTAAAAGTTTTGCATTTACTTCTGAATGTGTTACATAAAACTGAATATTTGAGTTTTTATGGAAAAATATTACGAAAAAGGCAGTAAAGGGGTAAAAATGCAAAATTTTTTGCAACTTAAAAGTGCAAAATTTAAAAAATTCTAAAAAAGTTTTACATTTACTTTCCGATTTGTCATCTAGAACTGAATAAATGAGTTTTTGTAGGAGAATATTACAAAAAAGGCAGTAAAGGGGTAAAAATGCAAAATTTTTTGCAACTTAAAAGTGCAAAATTTCAAAAAGTCTAAAAAGGTTTTGTTTTTCTTTTTCGATTTGACACATAGAACTGAATAACTAAGTTTTTGTGTAAAAATATTACGAAAAAGGCACTAAAGGGGCAAAAATGCAAAATTTTTTGCAACTCAAAAGTGCAAAATTTCAAAAAATCTAAAAAATTTTATATTTACATTGCGATTTGTCAGTTAGAACTGAAAATATTACAAAAAAGGCAGTTTAGGGGCAAAAATGTAAAATTTGTTTGCATCTTTAAAGGGCAAAATTTGAAAAAATCTAAAAAAGTTTAACATTTACTTTTCAATTTGTCATATAGAACTGAATGTTTGAGTTTTTATGCAAAAATATTACAAAAAGGCAATTTAGGGGCAAAAATGCAAAATTGTTTGCATCTATAAATTTTTGGCATTTATAAAGAAAAAAAGGAAATTAAGGGCAAAAGTGCAAACCAAAAAAAGCTTAAAAAAGCTATAATTCTCTAAAAGTTTTGCAATTCTGCAAGAAAAAATTAACAAAAAGGCAACTTAAGGGCAAAACCTCCCAAATTTGAAATATTAAATTTTACAACATACGCAATTTACATAAAAAGAAACGGTTAACATCAAAAAATTACGTTATTTACAATAAATAACTAAATAATTAAGAGAGAAAAAATAAAATAAAGAAAAACTCCCCCTTCCCTTCCCTAAAACTTGTACACAAAGAAAATATATGAAAATATTTAATTTGGACAATAAATGCTTACCCGTTGCTGAAGCACTTTGCTTTCATGCAACATTGCAACAGTAGGCGATGTCGGTAGAGTATTTAAACTGGCCGCCATAGAGGCGACCAATGAACGCTGATGATGTTGCTGTTGTTGCTTTAATGAACTAAACGACGAAGACGACGACGATATTGTGGAAACAGAGGAAGGAGACGACGACGTACTAATACCACTAGTGGTAGAACAATTTGTAGCACCACCAGCAGCACTACATTCCTCCTTCAGACCATATGGACAAGAGGAGTTAGATGTAGTGGAGTTGGCGGAGGCGTTAGAATATGTTGGACTTACACTTTGTATGATGGGTTTTGTGTCCAGCAATGATGTATCTAAGAGAGCTGAAGCTGAACCCGATGATGTATTACTGGCTGCTGAAGACATAGGATGATGACCTTGAGAGGCAATCAATAAATGACCATTGGCAGTTGTTGTTGCAGAGGTGGAGGAGGTATGATTCGACGAAGATGTTGCATTTGGTGAGGGTAGTGATAAATTACTGTTATCACTATGATGTTGATGATGCATATGATGGTGATGATGATGCAAGTGTTGATGCTGTTGTTGTTGTTGATGATGATGTTGCTGATGGTGTTGTTGTTGCTGCTGATGTTGTAACTGTTGCTGTTGTTGATGATGAGCTTGATGTTGTTGCAATTGATGATGATTAAGGTGGTTATGTGGCTGTTGTTGTAAAGGATTATATTGTTGGTTTTGGTGTGAGTTGTGATAACCATTTTGTTGTTGCTGTTGTTGTTGCAGTAAGAGAGAATTTTGATTTATTAAAGAATTTAAAGGTGATTGTTGTTGATTTGACTGATGATAATTCTGTTGCTGCTGCTGCGTTTGTTGTTGATGATGCTGTTGCATTTGCATAATCTCGCGTGTGGCATGTTGATACGATGGTGGTGGATTTTGTTGCTGTTGCTGCTGCAAACTGTTGGGATGACGGTCGAAATTATTATAGGAATTATTGCTGTGTGTGCGACTTATGTTATTGGTCAATTGTTGCATAAGACTCTCGTGGAAAGTATCCAATTGTGTGCTGCCATTATTGTGGCAGTCGACTGGTGTAATGGAAACTGAGTCTGGTGTTAAAGACGGTGTTGAGACCAGCTCAAAATCTTGTCTCGGCGAGGTGGAATTCTCATCTTCCACACAATTGCGCTGCAAAAATGAACTCAAATCCACGGCATCCGACAACTGTTCCAACAAATGATCCGTTTGTGAGGACAACATGAGAGTGGCAGTAAACTGCAGAGGATCCACCGAACCATTAGCTCCCTGAGCCGCTGAAGCTAAATCATTCATAATAGCATCTTCATAAGCAGATGCATTAAAATTACCCGAATTCCCCATGGTAGCTTGTATAATATTCTGAGCAAAAGCTCCTATATCGATCTTAGCCTCATCGTACTCTATGTCGGGCTCATCTTTTAGTATAATACCATAAGCTGAGGGATTGGGACCATAGGGCAAGTGAGGATGATGAGGATTAGAAGCAGATGCCGCCGCAGAGGAGGGAAAATGTTGCGGTGAAGAGGCCGAAGAAGGAGAAGAAGGATGATTATATTTAGCACAATGAGCTAAAGAACTATAAGGAAGAGAATTATTACCGTGACCGTTGTGGAAGAGCATGCTGGAGACAGAAGAAGAATTTTGATCCAACACCGAAGAACCGCCACCTAAAGTATCACCCCCCGAACCGGCAAATTGTTGTGAACCACTAACACCACCACTACCAGCGGCCGACATTAAATAAGCGGCTGCGTTTTGCAGTAAAAAGTTCGAAGTGGCCGTTGAATTGGGAGAGCCGTTAAAATTGCTAGAAGAAGAACCATTCATGGCATTACCACTTTTAAGAGACTCGTAGAAGGGAGGTAAAGCTCCCGAAGGAGGAGAGTTGGGGCCATAATTGCCCCTGCCATCACGTCCTCCTCCCATGCCTCCACCTGAACCGCCACTTAATCCCCCAGAACCACTAAAACCGGTGGGAGAACCTCCGCCGCTGGCCGATTGTTGAGAACCAGAACCAGAGTTACTGCCAAAACCTCCCTGGAAACTTTGTCCTTGATTACTGCCGCCTGAACCTGAAGTAGTGCGTCCGTGTCCTGCCGCTGCGGCCAAAATACCGGGAAGAGAGCGCACAAAACGAGGATTAAGGCGAGCCTGTGCCAAAATGGTGCGAGCAGCCAAAAGAGCACTACGACGTCTGGCTTCTCTTAATTTACGCTCACGCTCCAAACGTTTGGCATTCAACAGTTGTTCCTCGTCGTTATCCAAAGAGGATTTTCTACGAGGCACGTGATAATCTATGGGTTCTTGTTGTTCGGGACCCAAATGTTCTAAACTGGCCAAAGGCAATAGAACTTCGTGGGAACGTCTTTGGTTTTCTGCTTCGTTGGCGGGTGTTCTCTGTATAACACTACACCTTACGGCCGGCTCCGGACAAGGAGGAGGTGAGGGTCTTTGATCTTCTGGTGGTGGTGTGCAACGTACACGCAATGACAAGGGTTGCTCTTCGGGCACTAAAGGTTTTTCATCGACAATCAATTTTGAACCATCATCCGAGTCACTATCTGAATCGGAATTATCCTCAAACGATTCTCTTGATTGTTCTAGATCTTTTTGTTGTTGCTGTTGTATTTGTTGTACAATTTCCACAGGATATTCTTTGCGTTGAGCTGAGGTTAAGATGACACCACCAATCAATGACTTACTGCTGCTGCTGTTGTTGTTGCTGCTGCTGTGGACAGTTGTTGCACCTAGATAAGAGTTAATGTAACGATGTTTAGGTGAGGCAGATTTGGGTGTTTCTTCTGATTCCTTATCGGGCTTTGGTTCTGATTTGTAATTACAAAAAGTTTCCTTAGAAACTTGACAGTCTTTGAGTGAAGTCGTAGAGGTGGAGGAGGAGGATGTTAATGTTTGTGTTAATGAGGCAGGTGATAAAGAGGCTGTTGAAGAAGGTGATGCCGTAGAATTGCGTGAACAATTCAAAGGTAAAGTGGTAGTGGAAGCGGTGGGTGATACTGCTGCAGGTGATAATCTATCGTGTTCGGTGGTTAAAGAAACAGGACCAACTAAAAAGAAAATATAAAGTTAAAACAAATTAGTTAAGATTTTTAAAAAATGTTTGTCCAAAAAATTATGTAAGAAAAAAGAAAATGGCGTTAGAACAAAATGTTTACAAAAACAGCTCACAATTTTTATAAAAATTTCACTATTTATTTTTATAAAATGTTTTAATTTAAGTGAAGAATAGAAAATATTTAACAATTTATGATTTTAAAGATTAAAATTTATTAAATTTTTGAGAAAATTTTTAAAAAATTTAAGTTTTTTTATTTAAAACTTGTTGTTATTAGCAGATAACGGTATTTTTTATAGTTTTTATTAGATTTCCTAATTTTTCTTAATTTTTGCGATTTAAAACACGTTTTTTTTCACTAATTTGCTAGAAATTTTCCAACAATCTGTACAAATAAATCTTAATTTTAAAAAATAACTGTTCTTTTGCTGCTTTTGTTACTTAGTTGTTGTTGTTTTAATGTAATTTTATTTTTGCTTGAATATAAAAGAGATTAAAAGAGAAAACAAGAGTCAAACTTGAGGATGCTGTTCGTTTAAAGTGGATGAATTAGAGAGAGATAGCACTACATAAGTAAATAAAAACAAATTTTGCGATTTTTGTTTAAATAATTTTAATTTTGTATAAAAATTTTGAAATTTATAAAAGTTTTAAATAAAATTTTAGTTTTTCTTATTTTTTGGTTTTTTTGTAGTTGTTTTAATGCATTTTTTATTGTTTTTATGTTTTGCTCTAAAAAAGTTAGAGTTGCCAATAGGTTCAAGGACTTTAGAAGACGTAATAAAAAGGGAAAGTATTACAAAAGCTACCCAATAAACCAAAGAACGATATGATAGCGAAAACGGTATTGCTTTTAAAGGGCGATTATGATATCATATTTCATTATTTAAAACGATATTATTATAATATCGTTTTATATTATTTTGTTTCCAATAAAAAAATTAAGAAAATACAAACATTTGAAAAAAACTTCAAACATAAAAATAATTTCAATAAAAATTTTCGAACATAAGAAAACTAAAAAGGATATTAAAATAAAATCAACTAAATTATTGATAAATAATCCAAATAAATACGCGAATTTCGTTCGATACTTCAGTTTTGTGGTAAGTTGACATGTATGCAATTTTGAAAAGTTTCAGGTATTTGCAAGACAATGCATAATGTGATGAAAAATATGATTACTTTAAAATATGTATTAATGTATGTATGTAAATATGTACAAATGAATGCAATCCTTCTCTTTTCAGGCTTTTTTATATGTATAATAGCGAAATATTAAGTTAAATAGCGTTTTAAATGAAATTTTAAGAATAAAAGAGCATACAGAAAAAAAAACTGAAAAAGGCGATTTAACTATCATTATTTTTGGAAATTATGATAACGAAAACGATTTCATAATTTTATGGAAAAACGATATCATAAGGAAAGGTACCATTTAGTACGTAAATACTATCGTTCTCGATACGAGAACGACTATCACTTATGATATTTTTTATCACCTAAGTGATATCGTTTCGATATCGTTATAATATCGTTTGGTTTATTGGGTACTTGATGAAGTTAATAAGTGGAAGGGGGATAGAAATTGTTAAATAAACCACCTGCTTAATTAACAATTTAGCGAAACATTAACAATTAAGCGATTTTTTGGTGGAAAATTTAAATTTTCTAAAGGATTGAACTAATCCGCTTACGAATCTTGTTTGGTTAATGGTAAAAACTTTAAAGTCGACATATTGGACTTTTAGAGAATAGAATAAAGTTTATAAATAAAGAAGTCTTAGCGCTGTTATAGCGTCTGAAATATTAACAAAAACGGGGGGTTTTCAATCTTTATGACACGATATTTTGAAAACAAGGTATGATGAAGAAATTGTGGGATTCAGCCTAAGTTAGTTCTGTTGGAAAAGTATAATTTGATCATTTGGTATGTGTAATTTTAAGAAAAGTTTGGATATTATAAGAAACTAAGAAATAATATGATTATTTAGAAATCAAAAGATTTATCAGCAAAATATATTTTCCAACGGCAAATATCTAAATTTTTATATATAATTTAGATTTTGTTTTAAAAACCTTTAAAAAATCAAAAATATATCTTCAAAATTGCATTAAAAAGATAGAACGAAGTAAAATATCTTCTAAATTGTTATTTTTTAACTTTTTTCAAGTTTTTAGTGTTTTCTTATAAAAATGAGATTAAAAAGTTTAAAAAAGTCTAAAATTTCTAAGCTCCTTTTAATATTGTTTAATTTTTTACAAAAATATTCATTATACATAACTTTGTTGTTATTTTTCCATCTAACTCTTGACAAATTTAACGGTTTTAACAGAATTTTGTAACGGTTTTTTTTGAGCTAATAAGAAAATGTGCTTTTAATTAAAATTTAGATATAATTTTAATAAAATGCCTGTTTTTTTTTATAAAACTCACCTAAACCACAATAATTACACCATAATATATAATTCCATTTAAAGGGTTTTATAAAAATTAAATGATTTTTATTGTTAACAAACAAATTTTGTAAAATTTCATCAGACATTGTTTTGTCAAATTTTCAAAAATCACTTAAGGCACCAATAGTTAATATAAACTTTATTAATAACACTATAAACATTTGCTAGAGTTTTTAGTTTATGTTTAATTAAATAAACTTTAAATTTGTTATTAAACACTTTAACAAAAATTAGCGGTTTTAAAAACGGCATTTTTTAGCAGGAGTTTCAAATTAAAACTAAAAACAAACAAAACAAAACGTAAGAAAAAACAAACAAAACAACAAAATAAAAATATTACAAAAAAGTGTTATAAATAAAGAGTAAAAAAACCAAAAAAAAAAACTATTATACATTTAACTAGTGTTTATAACTGTTATAAAAAGTGGCAACTCTTGTTAAATAAAATAAAGTGGTAGCTTTGTTTGACAAAAAGCGAGAGAGCCATCTATGTTTACTTAAATGAAAACCAAATGATAACGGTTATTTTAAGGAGTTACCACAGTTAAATATTCGCAAACATTTTAGTTAATTTTACTTTTTTATAAGTTTTTAAATAATTTATGGCATTTAATAAATTATTTCAAAGCAATTTGTTTAAGTAAAATAATTTTCAAAATAATTTGCATAAATCTAAATGAAAATGTGAAAAAATTAAACATTTATAATTATTTTTTTTTATACTAAACAATAATAATAATAATAGCAGCTAACACTTTAACGAAACTAACAAAGACAAGGTTGAAAACTTGAAATGCAATTCAGGGGCTTACATACATGGCAAAAACACACCCATACATTTGTTGTTGAAATATATAAAGAAAAAAATTGCATTCAAATAAATGTTTTTTTTCTGCTTCTTGTAAGTTCATTGTGGTGGCCGTAACTAGCTTTGGCTTTAGCTTTAGCTAGTTAATTGCTTACTTTTCTACACTTTTGTATACATATTGTTTAAATTGTTTGAGTATTTGTTTTATATGTAGTAAAAACAAAGCCCTGGCTTTACATTATATGCAATACGTTTTTTTTTCTCTGTCTAAAGTTACTATTTGAGATCAAGATCAAGGTTTTTTTCATTCTTGATTGTTTTTTTTTTGCAATTGTTTGTTACAGTTTGTGCTAGGAGACTTGAAGGTATGAAATCGTTAGAATTTTTTAGTTTTTAATAAAATTTTTGTCTTTAATTGGAAATTTTATAAATTTGAAAAATTTTTTCTTTAAATTTTCTAAAATTTTGTTATATAATTTTTTTAAATCACTAAATTTTAACAATAAATATTAAATGTTTAATATTTTTTCTTAAATTTTTGTAGAATTCCTAAAATTTTGTCATAATTTTCATTTATTACCTTAAATCGCTAAAATTAACTAAATTTCTCCTTTTAATCGCTAACATTCACCAATTTTTTATTATATTTTTTTAAAATCACTAAAATATTTTTTATTTTCTCAAAATTTTCTTATAATTATCTTTAATTTTCAAAAATTTTGTAATTTTTCCTTAAAGTTTTGTTAAATTCCTAAATTTTTTTCATCATTTTAATTTATTTCCTTTTAAAACGCTAAAATTTACTAAATTTTTCCTTTAATCGCTAACATTCACCAATTTTTATATATTTTTCCCCTAATTCTTCGGAATTTCTTGCAACTTCATATAATTTCGCCAAATTTTCATATAATTTCTGTAGTTTGTCAAAAAATCTATAATATTTTTCTTTAAACTTAATAAAATGTTCACTAATCAAGAAATTTGTTATATTTTTTCTTAAATTTGAAATTTTCTTATATTTTCTTTGAATTTGCTAAAATTTTCTTATGAATTGCTTCAATTCTTTAAAATTTTGTTATATTTTTCCTTATATTTTCTTTAGTTACTAATATTCTAATATTTTCCTTTAAATTGAAAAAAATCTTTAAAATTTAAAAAATTTTCACTAATTTTTCTTTAATTCTCTAAAATTTAAGTTCTTTTCTTATATTTTGTCTAAAATTTTGTTATACTTCTCTTAAATATGAAGTTTTCTTTAAATTTGCTTCAATTCTTTAAAATTTTGTTTTATTTTCTTTTAATTCACAGACATTTTGAAAATTTTATTATATTTATTGTATAATTCTTTAAGAATTCCAAAATATTTCTTATATTTTGGCTTAATTCATTAAAAAATTCAAATATTTTCCATTTAAATCGTTAAAATTTTTGAGTTTTTCTCATATTTTCCTTAAATTCACTAAAATTTATTCAATATTGTTATATTACCCATTAATTCATTTAAAATTTATAACATTTTCCTAAGTATTCCCTTTAATTTGTTACAAGTTTCCAATATTTTCATTACTTTTCACTTTAATTTTTTAAAACTTCTAAAAATCGCAAAATTAAAAGGATAAACTCAAATGATTGGCACCACTTCATATTTATTACAAAGTTGCCACATGTCTATTCAATTCATCCTTAAAGCAAATCATTATAAATGTGTTAACAATTAGCGGTTT